TTTACTCCAGGTGGTTGGGACCAATTGATGCATCTTAGATGGCTGCTTGCAAGCTTTTAAGACCCCAGACGCCACTCACCAAAGTAGGATGCAGAACACAAAATGGAGGCTCTTATTAACATTGTTGAATGACATGGGAAAACGTTATGTGAAACAGTGGAACTCAAAACTTCAGCTGATGCCAATTTCATAAAAGAAAAAGTATAAATATATATACATTTTTTACAAAAACTGGGAGGAAATACACCAGATTGTTAAGGATGGTTCTGTCTGGACGGTTTTCTATTTCCTTCTTTAGTTTTCAAATATTCTACAATGAGTGTGAATTCTTTTTATAATCGGGGAAATTTCACTTTTCAAAAATCAAGTTTAAAGTCAAGCCCTGAAGTCTTTAATTTCTCTTAACATATTATGAGCGTTTTTATTGGTTTGTTTCCCACTTAAGCCTCTTGAAATCCTCCCTCCCTTGCAGCTGACAGATTAATAACAATATCTCTCAGTGAGTTCCAGGCTCTGTTCTAGGCATATATTGAAAAAACCAGTAAAACCAGTTGCTGTCAAGTGAACTCCAACTCATGGTGACCCCATGTGTATCAGAGTAGAACTGTGCTCCACAGGGTTTTCAATGGCTGATTTTTTCAGAAGTAGATTGCCAGGCCTTTCTTCTGAGGCACCTCGGGGTGGACTTGAATCTTCAGCCTTTCAGTTAGCACCTGAGCATGTTAACCATTTGCACCACCCAGGGACTCCTATTGTGGTGTGAATGATCACTTTTGTGTGGCCTTTCTAGCCATGGTCTTGTAACTCCCACCCAAGTGATTGGGTGGGACTGTGCAAATAAGAGAATTGTGGCCCACCAAGGGGACTGGTCAATTCTGCCATCCTGCTGGGCTTGAAATGAGCCACCCCAGAGATGGAAAAGACAAGAGCCCACCACCACCAAGGAAGAACAGCAAGGAGCCAGCACGTTCTTTGGACCTGGGATTTATGTGCTGGGAAGCTCCTGGAACCAGGAAACAGAGAGAGAGCCTTAACACTGAAGGCAGCAAAAAGTGGCAGCAAAGAGCTGGCAGCAGGAGATGGCGTGGTGGGCTTCCCAGCCCACAGAGAGAGAAAGCTAAGTGACTTTGGGCAGAGGCCAAGGGCCAGGGAGAGGCGTGCCTGCAAGCACGGCTGGGAAGTGGCTGTCCTGCTGGAAGAACTATATCCTGAGTGTTTCTGAGCCTGAATTGTAACTGTTACTTCCCTAATCATAAGTATTGTCTGTGAGTTCTGTGTGGCCATTGCAATGAATTATCGAACCCAGCCAAGACAGTGCCATGGGAGGGATGATTGGTGTCAGAAATGGTAAAGATGGCAGAGAGAGGAGGCATGTCTGACCTCTGCCTCATAGGAATAAGCCTTGGGCTGTTGATCTTGATTCTCCTTTCCCCTTGTGAAGTTAGAGGAGGTCAGACTCCGCCTCC